TAAAAATTTTATGGTTTTTCGCAAAAATGCACAAAAAAACACACAAAAGTTTAAAAATACCATATTAAAAATAACAAAAACATGACCTAACAGTCGCTCATTTCGGAGGTCCCACATTTTAATGAAACCACTGGGATGCTTCCATATCCGGCATAGATATGTTAATCCCTTCGAACCTGAGCTACAAAAACCCAGCTGGTACCACAGGCGGATGCAGGGGGAGGACAATGGGTTTTGCGACACAGGCACCACTGCTGCAAACACCCGGATCTAAAGCTAAAACTAAAGTAAACTAAAGCCTAAAGTAACTCTAAGTAGCAGTGTGTTACAACTCAGTTCCTAGCTTCTGCATAGTTCCAGGGTAGGAGGGGATTCTCCTCCTCACTCCCGTCGCCTTTCCCCCTCCTCTAGGGGCCCCACTCTTCCCTCCCCTTACCCTTACCCGCCGTCACCCCTCCCCCAGGAGTCCGTCCTGCACCCGTCTATGATTGGTACCCACCGCCTGTTTGATGTATGTATGCAAAACCGGTAAAAATTGCTTGTGTAACCGCCTAATTTTTCGAGTGCATCACTCGATAATGCGCCATGTTCATCGGTTTTTAGCAAGGCCAGTAATATACCTTGCCCGTCGAATTTTACTTTCTCACATGGACCCAATGAAATCCTGGAAGCGGCTCATTTCGCGGAAAATTTGTCTGCTTTTATAGGCGCTCTAGGCATCCCTCATTCCGCTGCTCCGTTACCACAGCGAGCAAGCATTTGCCCTTCTGCTTCCCTTCTGGATCTCAGTGCTCAGTGAATTTGAAACTGCATAACTGCAGAAGCTTAAAAGCTAGTGAATGAACCTGGAATGTTGTATGTGTGTGTGTCTGTCTGTCTGTCTGTTGGTCTGTCTTTCTATTTGTGTCTGTTCAAGTATTTCAATTCGGCAACCAAGCAAGCATCGATGCTGAAATTTTTCAATCACGATCACAAAAAAATGATATTTGGTGAGACTGCTTTGCTAAAAGTTTGTGAATATCCTGTACCAACATATATGGTACCTACAGAGGAGAAAATGTTCGGCAAGCTTACGAAGAACATGGCGCTTTTTGTGTACAGCAGAAGCGATGGCTAGCCATCAGCAAGTTGAAAAATATTGAAGGATAAGGTAGAAAATATGATGAAATGGAAAAAGGAGGGAAGGGAAAAAGGGAAACGGAGTATTAAAATATTTGTAATTGGTAAAAAATGTTTCGGTCCATTAAGTCGTATATATTTCTCACTGTTATCACAGTTGGACCTCGCCAGTACGACGATTGTGGTAACAAAGATAATTTAGATGAAGGTTTAGTATAATGTGCACCTTGTCTATCGAATTTTACTTTCTTGTGCACACAAGTGACTCAAGCTTATAAAAGCTTTGCATAACTGTGGTGGATGTCAGAAAGAAAGCATTTCGGCAAAAAAATTTTGTCTTACACTAACATCTTGTACTAAAAACAAAAAAATCTTACCGTATGATTCTGTACGACACTGCGAGCTTTTTCAACAATCGGATCTTTGAACCACTCGCTAGCAAGCGCTTCCGTCGCCGAGATACGATGTTCCGGCTCAGTTCTAAAGCACTGTCGCAGTATTTTCCGTCCAAACGGTGAGACTTTCTCCCAACCTTTGTAAAAAACCAGTCGTCCTGCAAAAATTTTTCCTGTAAAATAATGAAAGCAAGGAAAGAGCGAACTACAATCAATAAAAAATAACAAGGAAAAAGTAGAATAGAAGAACTGGACTTAAGTGTCAAGTGTAAGAAGACATTTTACGAAGCAGTCTGTGTTTCATCCCTTGCCTGTAAGTAAAGACCCAGCTATGCATGCGGGTAGGGGCGGGAATCATCAGTACAGCCTTCTATCCGCCATGTACTGAACAGTCATGTAACTAATTTGCAAAACGGATATAAAAAAGAAAGAGAAATCAGAGAGACAGCAAACAGACTGACAGAGTAGGAAAAGAAGAGGAAGTTAATCAATGACACGAACAATCATTATGTGCTAATTATAAGAGGACACTTTTTATGAGAACAGCGAGCTGACCAGGCGTTTAATTACTGAATCATCAGGAAAGATGAATTTGCTGAGTACTGATCTCTTGAACGTCTTACCTCTCATAATCTGTTCGTCCAGTGGCCAATCATCATAATCCGCACTGAATGGTGGATAACCGCACATGCAAATGAAGATGACAGCACCAAGTGCCCAGATATCCACTTTACAGCTGTATGCTTCCGCTTTCCACTGCTCCGGTGCCATGTAGCATTTCGTCCCACAAAATGTTCGCATCGATTGCCCGTTTGTTATTTTGCTCAAACCAAAATCTGTCAACTGTAATGGAGTTTAACAATGAAAGGTCAAATAGGTAAAAACTGAGCAAATTAGGCAAATTAAAAAAGATAAATCGATGACAGCTAAAACTGAGTTTTAGTAAAATCGTTTCGAG